CTTCCAATAGAGAAAGGGTTTCATAAATTTCATTGTTGGGCTCTTCTACCTGTTTACAGTCTCCTTTTGATACCTAGGGCAGTGTGTGATTGATTGCTACCTCTTTTGCCCATGAAGGAGTTTGCATATCATCTGAAGATCCTTTGTATCATTATTGGAGGTAGAAACCTCTCTCCATATAACACCATAGGCATAGATAATCATAAAGGCATACTTTTGTCCTTCTGGAGACTATTATTGTAACCTTTTGAGCAGATGTATATTCTGGGGGTAGTTTTGATTTGATGAGCTCTTGTAGAGGCACTACTGAATAACCAGAGTGGTGTTTTACATAATACATGAAGCTCTTTTCATGCATGAAGAGTTCTCAGTTTGCATAACCTACTTCTAGTGTGTCACACCTGTCAGCTACAAAAGTATAAAGAACTTCCACAAATCAATGCATCATGGTTAGAGGATCAGATCCTGCAGGCAGACAGCAACATAGCTAGTTCTAAACCTGATAGTTGTTTGAAGGGTCACATTAAGGTCATCTAACAAGATCGCTTGATATTTGTCCAGCCTCCTGGCAGTTCAGCAAGTTTAAGACCTGATGTGACAATAGTATTAGATCATCCCAAGGGTAAACTTTTCAGCTTCCTTCACATCACAAGTGGCTGCTGGGCTGGAGGCATGGCTCAAATGGTAGAGCACCAGCAATGAACAAAAAAAGCCAAGCAAGAACTCAAAGGCCTAAGCTATTGTCCAGAAAGGAGCAGGCCACCCATTGGCCATATAGTCCAATTGCTTCGAGAAATACAGGTTGGGAAACTACCCAGCAACTGAAAAGAACAAGGTTGAGCATGGGCAAACCTCCATCAGTCCTTGAGAGTTTTAAGAACAGTTTAACATTTGTTAACCAAATTAAAGGCTCAAGATCTATCCCAATTAAAACTAAGGGCTTCACTATTATAAGCTCCAAATTAAGTATCTGTATTCTGTAGTAGCTTGTCAGTCCCAGGAACCTTCTGAACTTCATTCAGGTCTTGGGGACCTAAATACTGTCCTCACTACCCTTGATATAACCTCAGGTAAACAACTTGTTCTTTGCAAATTTTGCTTCAGAAAAAGACATTTTATACCAGCATTCAGCAAAGTGATTCTGAATCTGGATGGTGTTTCTTAGGCGAGGCTCTTGATGAGCAAATCATCTACATACTGCAGCGGAGTTCCCCAATTCAAATAATAACATTTAAAACTGTTGTAGTTAATATATTCTCAAAGCTCACTGGTGAGATTTTTAATCCAAGTGGCAGCACTACCAAACAGTATTAAAGAATAGTCGATGAGAGTCTGTCCATTTGAAGGCAAAAGGTATTCGCAGCTCACTTACATGTAGAATGGAAAAGCAAGTGAACCATTTACCCTCTGCCAATAAGAAATTTAGAAGAATGTAAGGGTTAGGTACTATAGGGTAAATATCCTGAAAAATTTTATTAATGGCTTATAGATAATGAATAAAATACTAGTCCTCAGATTGTTTTTTGTTGTTGTTGTTTTTTGTCACTTGTGGGGCTTGTTTAAACTCAGGACTAGTGCTTTTCCCTTAAGCCACAGCTCCACATGGACTTTACTGCCTGGTCTGGCTTTAATCCACGATCCTCAGATCTCTACCTCCTGAGTAGCTAGCATTCAGTTTATTGTTAAACTGACAAGATACAAGTATAATAATGTGAGTGGAACAGCATACAAATCAATTCAGTAATCTAAGGTCAATTTGTTATAGAGGAAAAATAAAATTAAGTATAAATTTAATGTTAGCCAAGTTTTCACATCATTGATGGTAATGTGCTATAATGGACTATACCTTCACATTTACTTATTGCTCGCTCATTCAGGGAGTTCTCAAAGGTTTTTGTATCAATTATAATATCCATTCAAAATAATTTTTCTTGAGTTATTATCTATAATGCGTGGCTGAAGTAAATAGCCAGCAGCCTAGCCTCATTAAGACTATCTCAGTAGTGTTGTTTACTTTCTTGTCCATTTGGGTCACAATTGATAAACTCTATTAGAAAGTAATATCAAATGTGGCTTTTACTTACAATGTAGTTGGAACTAAAGCTTATCATGTTGGGTTGGGTATTAAATACTGTATTTTTAAAAATGAGTGGTAGGGCTGGATCAGATTTCACTTTAGAATTTGGAGGAGTTATGGATTGGATTCTTTTTTTGGTCCACCATGGGGCTTGAACTCTGGACCTGAACGCTCTCCTTTAGCTCTTCAGCTCAAGGCTAGCTTGCTACCATTTGAGCTACAGTGCCACTTCCGGTTTTCTGGTAGTTTATTGGAGATAAGAATTTCACAGGCTTTCCTGCCCGGGCTGGCTTTGAACCGAGATCCTCAGATCTCAGCCTCTTGAGCAGCTAGGATTACAGTTGTGAGCCACCAGCACCTAGCTGTCTTTTTTTTTGTTTGTTTGTTTTTATTTTAAGCCTGTAAGTGGTGGAATTAGAGTATCTTAAACAGAAACAAGACGACAGTAGAAGGCATGACACTTTGGTGGCTTTTCCTGGGTTAACATCAGCTGAAGATGGAGTGCCTATTCAGGTGGCACATACACCTGTATTTACTGCTTCTCTGGGAGGAAGGTTACTTAATAATTGAGCTCACAGAGCAAGTTTGTCCATACCAGTGGAACTAGACACTAGCACATACAGAAAGCTGTGAATCAGAATACTAGGTCACCTTAGTGGCTGTAGGAAAATCTGCTTTTGGGGCTTTCCCAATACTCCAGTAATAGGTAGAATCCAATTAGTCCTTTTTGCTAAAGGAGTCATTAAATAATATAGCTTCATTATTGATTAGGAACCTATGGTCTTGTACTACACTGTCAGTTATGCCCTAATCTTCTGTGAGGAAATAATGTTTGGAGCCTAAAGATTTGTCAGAGGACTTCTTAGTCCCCATCAAAATCACCATTGATTCCTGTCATCAGAAACTTCTCAGAAATGGTGCTGTGAGCTCAAAGTAGTTAAGCACTAGCCTTGAGCTGAAATACTCAAGGACAGTGCCCAGGCCCAGAGTTCAAGCCCCATGACCGACCAAAAAAAAAAACAAACTTCTCAAATCTGTCTTTTTTTTCTTTTTTTGGTCCACCATGGGGCTTGAACTCTGGACCTGAACGCTCTCCCTTAGCTCTTCAGCTCAAGACTAGCTTGCTACCATTTGAACTACAGTGCCACTTCTGGTTTTCTGGTAGTTTATTGGAGATAAGAGTTTCACAGGCTTTTCTGCCCGGGCTGGCTTTGAACCGAGAGCCTCAGATCTCAGCCTCTTGAGCAGCTAGGATTACAGGTGTGAGTCACCAGCACCTAGCTGTCTTTTTTTTTTTTTAAGAGTTTGGAATTGGTTGTCTTTTAATACTCATCAAAGTATGCATATCAGTTTTCTCCTAAGAACTTTTTTTCCTTTTTAAGTAGGACTTTCAGTTCTAGATTTCTAATTCTGGGTGATTCAGCAAAAGCCGTGGTTTATTAAACCATCTCATTATAGACTTTGTGGGCTATGTTAATTAAGAAGTGTTCATGCCCACAGTCCTGTAGTTTTCACTTAGTATTGCCCAGTGAAGGTCATATTGATAGTTCATATATTTTCAGAGGCTTCTAGAACAAACCTAGTATTTGCCTGTAGGTTTGGTATATTTTTTCTAACCAGACTTCAGGGGTTATTTTTCCTCTGATGTCTTAGATACCTTCTGTTGAACCTTTGCATGACACTTAGGATCTGAATTTGGATTCTAATTTAGCAACCTTGTCAGTATTGAATTTCTTGGATCTGGAGTGTTTTGGTGTCAGCCTGGTGAAGGATCTGAAATTTCTCATTAACCTCATTTAAGATGTCTTTTTTTTTCTGAAGACAATGTTATATTGAACCCTGTTTATACATTAGCCCACGTAGGGTTATGATTGACAATTATGGTTGGTAATTAGTTCAACCATTCATTGGGATCATCACAGATGGAAGGTTAGAACTTTTTCAATTAAACAGGTTAGAGTAAAAAATGATGTGAATCTAGTACTTGTCCTTGGACATTTAATACTCCTGGTGGTTACTGTGTCTGGGAATTTTACTGCCCTGCTCAGGTGGACATCTTGGCCAAATTAGATGCTCTGGTGGGTCTTAAAAGACTGTTCCAGACCCAGGTGCCCATGGCTTATGCTGTGATCCTACCTGTGCAGGAGGCTAAGTGATAAGGATCATAGCAAAGATAGCCTGATTAGGAAAGTCTGTAAGACTGCTTCAGGCTTATCAACACATCAAGAAGACAACCTTCCTCCTACAATGTTGAAGCCACAACTTGGGGCAAGACATTTCTTTGAGAAACAAGTTTAAGTAATACTGTTTTATATTTGTTCAACTATGTTTGGATGATCTTTTCATTTCTCACCAACATTCTATCAGTTTCAATAACAATTTATCTTTATTGTTCTACTTGCTCATAATATAGCTGTAAAGGCCTTTCAGGCTCTTTCCTGTGATTTATAATACTCCACTTACTCAAGAAACATCGCAGGTTCTTTAGTGCTTTGCTATTTGTCTTTGTGTGAGTGTCCAAATCCACTCTGAGTAGAAAGAGCACTCTATGCAGTTCATCACTTAGCTCCTCCCAGGCCTCCTTAGGTAGCATCAAAATTATGTATAGGTGTCAAGTGAAAATATCATTCTGGAGAGGCATCAGGTTAAGGGTAGAGGAGCATCTTTTTTTTTTTTTTCCAAGCCCTGGGAAAATACCCAGTAACATCCTTGTGTCTTCCTGTTTTATAACACCATGGTCTCTGTTCTGCTGAAACAGAATTCTCTCTGGCACATACATGGTCCATGTTCACATCATTCACAGTTTCCTCCAATTGCATCTCAACAAACAATTTGACTCTTGAGAACCAGTAGGCTTGTTTATCCTGGAGATGGTTGTGTCATTGCTTACAGATAATTACAACAGGGTCTCTTGACTTTTCAGATGGCAAACCACAGGATTTCTTCTGACTCTGTTGCATCTGCCAGTAGTTGCTTGAGCTTGGAGTCTACTCTTTGCACTGAGCAAATAGTGCCCATGTTCAACAAAGGCATCCAAGCAGGTAAATCAACTTTTCTATGAAAATAAAAAGGGTTCTTAAACATAGATTCACCTCTCACATATTAAAGGAAATAAAATCAGGTGCTGATGTTTCATGCCTATAATCCTGGTTACTCAGGAGATGGAGTCTGAGGATCATGGTTAAAAGCCAGCAAGGGCAGAAAAGTCCATGAAACTCTTATCTCCAGTTCTCAAAAAAAGCAAAAGTGGTGCTGTGGCTCAAGTGGTAGAGAGCTAGCCTTGAGCAAAAGAAGCTCAAGGACAATGCCCAGGCTCAGAGTTCAAGCCCCAGGACCAGCAAAATAAATAAGTAAATAAGTAGATAAATAAGTATGAAATCAACATCAAAACTATAGACATCTAGGTGTTACTTTTCATTTATAAATTGACAAAAATCCAAGTATATAAGCTAGAAATTATCTAGTTGTTATGCTCCTCCTGGTAAGGGTATAACTTGGTAAAATCTCTGCGAGAGTAATTTGGCAGTTTCTAGCAAAATTATTTTAACCCATCATTTTTGCTGTGGCACTTTAGCCTGGAGATATGTATACTTGGATATTTGCAAAATGTCAAGTATGAATATTGAAATATTACCTCAGATAGAAGAAAATTAAAACTGGTACTCATCAGTAGCTGAATGGTTAAATCAGTTCTTATACTTGCATATAATGAAATCTTGTGTAGAATAAGCAAGCTCTCTCTGTCCTAATACAGAAAGATCTCCAAGGTATATAATTGGAAAAAAAAAAGCCTCAAGGGATATAATAGTGTACAGTATATTACTACATGGGGAAGTGGCTCTGTGGCTCAAGAGGTAGAGCACTTGCCTTGAACTGAAGAGCTGAGGGACAGTGCCCAGGTCCAGAGTTCAAGCCCCATGACCAACAAAATATTTTTTTTTAAATAAAGGATTATTATTAATAAATGCGTTTTTTTTTCTTTTTTGGGTTGGTTAACTGATTTTGGGGCTGGTCCTGGGGCTTGTACTTAGGGCCTGGGCAATGTCTCTGAGCTTTTTTGCTCAAAGATATCATTCCTATCACTTGAGCCACAGATCTTTGGTGGGTATTTGGAGATAAAGAGTCTCACAGACTTTTCTGCCTGGGCTGGCTTTAAACTGAGATTCTCAGATCCAGCCTTCTTAGTAGGTAGGCATAAGTTACCAGTGCCCAGACTCTACTGTACACACACACAATTTTTTTCTAAATAAAGGAATCAGGAGAATTTCTTGAACCTATAAAAACAATTTTCTGGAATGATAGGATTCATGGAGTGAATAAAACACAAGGGTGGAAGGAGGGTTTTCAGTTTTTACCTTTCTGTACCTTTTGACTTTATAAAGTAACAATAAGTGAAGATCTTGTTTTTCTTCCCTTTAGTTGTCTGTATCTGTAGTTGTCATTATCAACATCTTCCATACCTTGGTAATTGCCATTAAGGATCTCCCAAGTGCTTACTATCTTTCTCACTTTCTCACTATCATTTACATATGAATGCATATTTAGTCTTTGTCTCTAATATGTAAACTTAGAAACAAAAACCTTCTTCCTCCCTCTCTTCTTCCTCCTCTCTGTCTCTAATTTCTTAACCATGCTTCCCTTTTTCTTCTTGTTCCCTTACTCACTAAAAAGGCAACATTTCTTTGAATCATTTTGCAGGGTTTACCTGTTGACTTAAAATAAAACCATCATCACCTAAACCCCATAGATGTTTCCAGAGACATCTGTGATCTTTCTTTCAGGTAACTTGGAGATTTTGGATGGTGTCAAAAAACATACTCGTGATGTTGGAGTGACTTTCCCAACTCCATGTTCTAGTGAAGCCAGATTAGAAGAGGAGAGTGATGAGACTTCTGTGTCAGAAGAAATAATCAAAGAGAAAACACTCTTTGCCAGTCCTCTTGAAGACAAAAAGTTAAAGAGTAAGCAGAATTCCTATGAAGGTCAGTGCATTTTCTCTTTCTTTTGTAATTTTTATTTTGAAGGTTGATTTCGCATTCCAGTTAGCTTATAATCATTGTGGCAGAAAAAGTAGTGAGTGAAGTCTCTTACAATGCTGAGAGTCTTTGTTTTTGGATGACTGTATTGGCTCTTCCAAACCCCATCCACTATTTGGACAAATGTTGAAAATATCTGGAACAATATTTGCAGAGTGTTACAGTTAATACTCAAGGGCACCCTGGGGGTACCTGACAGCTGAGCCCCTAAAAGTCTGTATTATATACTTGTCTTTGATGGTAGTTGGGTGGGACTAAAAAAAAAATCTCTCTTCTTCTTAAAAATATTTCCTGTAGGAGTTTCCTGGTTTGTTCCTGTGGAAAATGTGAAGCCTGCAACTAAGAAAGAAAACTGTCCTAAGAGTTATGGTCCTGGTATCTCCTGGTTTGAGCCAATGTCCAGAACCAAACCTTGGAGAGAGCCACTGCGAGAACAGAACTGGCAGAAGCAGTGCATGGTTGGTTGGGGATTACAGCCGGGCCCAGGAGGAGATGTTGGCCAAGAGCAACTGACGCCATTCGTGAGGACAACTCTGCAGGTATTTTTAAGAGTGGAAAAGGACAAGTCACAGATGAGTTAGGTGTGTGACTGGCATTCTGGGGTTTAGTTACATGACCTTGTTAGCAGCTATGCAGTTCATCTCTTTCACTGTGTAAGGGCTTGGTTTCTCATTAGTCAACGTCTGTAATATTCATAATGCTCTAAATAGTGTATCTCACCTGAGATGTGGAGACAAGCCAATAGAAGGGAAGTGATTATGGCACTACTTGTCAAATGCCTAAATACCAACCTGTGAAGTTCATAGAAGCCTGGTGTATGCCAACATTGTATTTGTTTCTGTACTTAGGTAGTCTGTTCCTATTTTATACAAGATTCAAAAGGCACCTGGCTGGGGCTGGGAAGGTGGCTCAGTGGTAGAGCACTTGCCTTGCATGCATGAGGCCCTGGGTTCGATTCCTCAGCACCACATAAGCAAAAGGAAAAAAATTTTTTAAAAAATCAAAAGGCACCTGATAATTGTGTTGTGTTCTTTCTCTCTTCTCTCTCTCTTTTTTCTTTCTTTGTCTCTTTCTCTGGCAGTCTGTCTCTTACCTTCTCTCTCTTACTCTATTTCCAGTATTGACACTCAGCCCTCAACAAGTGTCTTCTTTGAGGACTAAAATAAATGTTATTTAATGATAGGTGTGTTTGAAGAGGATAGTAAAAAGATATTAAACTCTTGTCTTATCAACATTTAAGAAAGTTGTAACTGCCACAGTTTTAGTTCTGAGCTTAAACCAAAAACACTTCTTTGAGCTCTTTGATTTCCCTTCTAGAGCTCTCCCAGTTTTGTGTGATCAGAGAATCGTTCTATTCTAGATTTTTTTCTGTGATTTAGAAAGAGGATCTCCAAACCTGCTAGGCAAGGGCTGTTTTTCTGGGCACTGAAGAGATCAGACTCCATCATTCATATGAGCTTGGGCCTTTTCTCCTTAGGAATCACTTCAGCTTCACAGACCTGACTTCATCTCTCGCTCTGGAGAGCGGGTTAAGCGCCTCAAGTTAATAGTCCAGGAAAGGAAGCTGCAGAATGTGTTTCAGAGTGAGCGGAATGCGCTGTTCAATGCCATGCACCCCCTGCCTAAGAGAGGTACCTGCTCTTGTCATTTTCCTACAAGTGATAGAGAAGGCTGGGCTGCTGCTCTGCTGGAAAGTGCTGCTCAGTGTGAGGCCACGTAGGAGGGTTGAATATGCCTTTTGCTTGCTGAGACTCAAATCTCTGTGGTAGCAGACCAGCACAACCTAGTTCTCAACACTTCTGTGTTCCAAGTACGCCAGTTACTCTGACCAGTCACTGCATTTTACAAAGGAGAACATGTGTAAGAAGAGTTTTTTTTTTAATACACTAGCTGTGGGTCATGAACAATTTGATTCCAAAAAATATGTTTCCTTTGAAGAAGGACCCAATTCTGGCTGCCTACCTCATATGATGGTAGTAACAACAACAATAGGAAACCGGTAGTAATCCTTCCACCTTCTCTGGTGGTCTCATAGCATATCTTGCGGTAGGTACAATAAATATCTAAGATATTTACCTAAGATCTCAAGCAATGAAACATGAAAGCTGTGAAAACTGTGAAGTACTACCTAATGCTGTCATCACAACCTGTAAACTGGTTGTTCTTAGAGTTCCCACTGTCTGGTCTGTGCTACAAGGACCACAGGCTGCTCTCACAGTTGCCCTATCCAGTCCTGCTTTGGCCTTGGCCACAGTCAGTGTTCAATATCTGATATGGCTAGCTCAGGTTAGGAGGTCAAAGGCTAGCAGCTTCTTCTTGTAGCTCTAGACTATCACTAACCTTTCCTGATTAAATCAATAAATATCACTTCTTTCTTAGTTCTTAGGATAGTCCAGAAGAACAAACCTATTGGGAGGAAGGAAATGATTCAGAGGTCTAAACGGTAAGGAAAAAAACAACAACAGGTAATTATGGAAATGTATATCAAACCACTAGATGGTCAAGAACTCTACCTTACCCTCACTTATGGCTCTCAGTACAAAAGGAATAGTGAAATAGATAGCAGATACGGTATAAATGATTCATATACAAAACAAAAAATAGGCTCTATGGATGTCCATGCCTTTGTAACTAAAGAATATTTAGAAAATAATTTGTCTATTTGAGGCTAACCCTTTTTTCTTAGCAATACTATTTCTAGCAGTCTATCTAATAAAGTGAAAAAGAAGCATTCTTTCCAGCACATTTAATTAGGCTTTCAAAATCAAGTTACAAAAGCATGCATAGACAGGTGCTATTTGGGGGCCTCTAAAAACAAGTATTTGTGCTTATGTAAATGTACTTTGTATATGTGTGTATGTGTATATATTATACAATATCTCTATAAGACACACACACACACATGTGTGTATGTGTATATATTATACAATATCTCTATAAGACACACACACACACACACACACACACACACACACACACACACACACACACACACACACACACACACACACACAAACACCTGGTAATAGCAGATCCCTTTGGGGGGAAAAAAATTTATTGCTAGGTTACAGTGGCCAGGGATAGGAAATACACAAATATTTACCTTTTTATACCACTTGAGTCTGTGCTATTGTAAACATTACCTTCATTTATTTAATTTGGTCTGTTCATCATGAGGATGCCATGGGAAGTTAAGTTAAGGGATAATTTTAGGGATTCACCGGAAGCTTGCTTGCTTCAATAGTTGTTTTATAGTTGGAGTAGTGCTTCTGAAATAGTGGCTCTGGAAAGCAGTCCATCTCATGTAACTGAAGCAGTCCTCTGGAGATCTGGTATTTTTACTCTCCATTTCATAAACCTTTGAAAGTCATGCCCAAGGGATGCTTGAATTCACTGGCTCTCTCAGAGTGGTCAGTGGGTCTTTGAGAGTTGCTGAAGCCCTTTCAGGGCATGTGCAAGATCAAAGCTACTTTCAAACCACTAAGGCCACTGTGTGCCTTTTTCTCTTGTTGTACTTATGGAGGCAAAAATCAATGGAGAGGAGGTTAGGATTTCAGAACCACTGTTGAAGACATCAGCAGCACCAACCTGGCTCCAAAATGTCAGCAGTGCCATGCAGCACACAAAGCACTTGTAGTCCACCCTGAAATCTGGTAATCTGACTTAAGAATATGACAGACATTCTCCTGACAAGGAAGAATGAGTTCCTCACTTCAGCTGAAGAAACAGCTGACAGTATTAACTGCCAATGGAAACAAGTGAGCTTAAGAAAACAATTCTGGAACACTTCTATCTACCCAGACAAGCTTGAAAAGTGTCCAGTGCTTAGACTTTTCACTGAATCAGCAGTAATATTAACAAATGTGACCATTTTTATCACTTTTAAATTTGTCAACACTGGAAAATCTGAAGAACACACTTGCCAAAACATTCCACATAAAACTACCACTTTTTGGGTTTCAAGAAGATTGAGCTGGGTGTGGTAGAATATATCTATAATGTCAGAACTGGAGAGGCTGAGGCAGCAGGAATGTGAGTTCCAGGCCAGCCTGGGTTACAAAACAAGACTGTGCCTCAAAGAATCCAAAGCAGAAAGGATTGATTACCTGGAAAGAGCATTAAGCTACTTATTTGTCTAGGTTCTGGTTACATATGTGTGAAGTCTGATTCTTTAAATGTGTACTTTATTTTATTTTATTTTATTTTTTGTCGGTCGTGGGGCTTGAACTCTGGGCCTGGGCGCTGTCCCTCAGCTCTTCAGCTCAAGGCGAGCGCTCTACCATTTGAGCTACAGCGCCACTTCCGGTTTTTCTGGTGGTTTATTGGAGATAGGAGTCTCACGGTCTCTCCTGCCCGGGCTGGCTTTGAACCGCGATCCTCAGATCTCAGCCTCCTGAGTAGCTAGGATTAAAGGCGTGAGCCACCAGCGCCCGGCTAAATACTTGTTAGATTCTTTTTTTTTTTTTTTTTTTGTCGGTCGTGGGACTTGAACTCTGGGCCTGGGCACTGTCCCTCAGCTCTTCAGCTCAAGGCAAGTGCCCTACCACTTGAGCTACAGCGCCACTTCCTAAATGTGTACTTTAACTAGAATGACATGTGACAATAGACAATTCAGAGGGAAATAGGAAGTCCAGCTGACTTCCTTTAAACCACAGAGAGATTTGTTTTAAAAAAAAAAAAAGGGTAAAACACTGTACCAGCCTACAGTTTTTTGTTACTGTTGTTTTTAAGTTACTGTTATTTTTAAGTGGGTTAAGAAATAAGTAATTTTTAAGTAATTTATGTAATTTTTAAGGCTAGGGCATGGCTCAAGTAGTAGGACATTTTGCCCCCCAATATTTTTTAAACCCACTATTTTCCCAGAAGTGAGTACTGATAAGGCTTTGTTATATTTTTGTTTACCTGTTTATTCTATATCATGAGCCCCCCACCCTAGATATCAACTTTCCAATGGGATGATGGGTTACATAGTAGTGCTGGACATGCACAAGGGAGTAAATGCCTTGGAGAGGTTGAATTTAGGGATGTTTTGTAAGATGCAATCACATACCTCTGTACCTGCTAATCTCATTGCTTTCTGTCTTCCACCGGTGCCATTCTCTAAGGATTTATGAGCAGCTTCCAGAAGTACAGAAAAAGAGAGAAGAAGAGAAGAGGAAATCAGAATATAAGTCCAACCGGCTGCGAGCTCAGCTCTTCAGAAAGGTTTGTTGAGTTGTCATTCTGCTCAGAGTGGGATAACCAGGTTTATTAAGAGAGAGATGAAGGGAAGCACCTCTCAATGCCTAAGAAATGGAGTGAGTTCAAAAAGCACTGTTGTAGTGCTAGTATTTCAGACACAATGCACCTGTGATCAGTTTCAGCTCCTTAACCTTAATTGCAATGAAACCAAATGTCGCACATAGGAGGTGATGTTATCTCATGGTGGAATGAACAAGAGTCTTGCTCAAATGGATTCCCTGGGATGAAGACTGGCCACTGGGCTTGGAGGACCATGCCTTTACTGTTCCTGTTTCCTCCCAGCCTCCTCACTATACCTCTGAGGACTCTCAAAGTCAATTGCCAAAAGACTGAATCCCAGATCTTCCACAATGACTTAGAGAACTGTCTCTGGAGTGCCCTGAGCCCACACTGGGGAAGGCAGAGGGCTCTGTGTGGCCTTGCTACTGTGTTAGCATCACAGAACTGATCCCTTTGCTGTGCTTGTGTGTCATAAACTTATGGTGTGCTCAGTCTGTCATGACTAGAGATTGTCTCTATCTGTTAGAATTAAAAATATTGCTTGTAGATTATCTTTTTTAAACACTTTAGGAAGAATTCTTTAATTGTCATAGTTTCATAGTTGAGTAACATAAACAAGAAACAACTTGTGGAGAGAACCATCTAGGTCTCTTCAACAACAAAGCTGGGGTCAGGAGTGCCACCTGCCTTTGAGGGCACACTTACTTCTTTTTTGCCTTTTTTTTCCTTCACAGAAATTGACCAGTCAACTCCTGGGAAGAAAAGTTCCATGGGATTAATGTAAGATTATTTTCTCAGAGTCTTGGAGTTTTTTTTTTATGAACCCGGAGGAACATAGTCCTTATTTTTATGGATCTGGTTTAATAAAGCTTATTCTTTGTGTTCTGTGTGCTTATGTAATTTAGTCATTTCTGGGATGTGGGGCAGTGTGTCAAGTAGAGTGACAGATGGTTTAAAAGTAGTTCTTTCTCCATAGAGGCTTTTGCCACAGTGTTGTAAATCCCAATGGTACTATGTCTTAATTGTACTCAAGAATGAGCCCCTCTTTTTATGTGTTTTAGTTTAGAAAATAAATCACTTCTGATTGACTCACAGTAAACCAAACAACAAGAAAAGTAAATGTATGGGTAAGATGTAATAATGTTATTTAAGATAGTGAAAAGACAATGTGGGAAATAGGAGAGAATAACTGTCGCTCATGTAAACCACAAAGGGTTTTCATTCAGAATATATAATGAACTTGTATGAGTCGATTTCTTTAAAAGGCATAGGAAAATGGGCCATTCATTGGAAAATGGGCTAAGTAATAATAGAAGAACAAACACGTCTGCCCAGTTAACACAAAACATCGCTTCACTTTAATGAAGGAAATGCACATTATAAACAATAAAAATACCTTTTGAAGCTTAATAGTTTAGTGAATATTTTTAATTCTTTCCAAGTGTTGGCAAAAATATGGATCAAAATGCATTCACATATTGCTTTTAAGTGTGCACTCTGTCAAAAATGCCCACCACCAGTCCATCCAAGAAGATTAACAGCAACAGCTTCCTAACAGTAAACAACTGGAAACAACTCTGATGCCTTTTCACAAGAGAATGGGTAAGCAACTGGCATGTTCACACAAAAGAATTCTAGACAGAGGGGAAAATTAATAAACAACTGCCAATTCATTTTGATGAATCTTAGGAATAACTGAGTAGAAAACTACAGAATACATTGTATAATACTATCATTATTCATGTTCTAAAACAGGAAGACTGAGGTTGAAGGACTATTAGTGTGATGCTAAATAAAGTTCAAAAACAAGCCAGAGTAAAGGTGTTCAGTGACATGTGGACCCTGGTGGTTTTGAAATACATAAGCAGATAGACTGACAGAAACATACATAGATGATAGACTGATTAAATTGAGAAAAAATTTCACTTTTCAGAGAGATGGGCTTGGGAAAGAGACGCAGCTTTAAAAGTCTTGTCTACAGTAAAGAGACCTTTATTCATCAATCAGGTGGTATGATCATTTAATTTATGTAATGTATTTTATATAGTATATATGTTTGTATATAACATACACATTTTAGTCTATCAGATGTTTTCTAATGGTTTATTAGATTGTTAAACAGGTTAATAAGTAAATATCTTTAGCACTTACAAAATAAAGCTTCTATAAACATTAGGGCCCATATTTATCTGCCAACCCTCATGCACAGGTACTGGAGGACATACTAGGCTGAGGCCAGCAGCAACAGGGACATGTGCAAAAGTAGCAATAGAATAAAGCTTTAGAGTTTTGTATGGATGGTGGAGAAAGGTGGGAAAAAAGACTCAGAGAACCCAGATTGTATCAGGAACCAATGCAGGCAATCCACAAAGCTGAGCTGTGGCTCAAGAGGTAGAGTGCTAACCATGAGCAAAAAACGTTCAGGGACAGCACCTTAGCCTTTCAAGTACCAGGACTGTTACACACACATAAAAATGCCAACCTGGGCCAGTTGGTGAAATCCTGTATAAATTAAATAAATGTATCACTTAAGAGTGCAAATAAAACATTACAAACCAAGAGGATACTAGCAGTTTCCTTGCTTGTTTTGTGGGGTGTGGGGATGGGAAGCAGGATACCACCATGTATAGATCTTGTCCTCCTGTTCATCCTTTTATTGTCTTGCACCAGGCATTAGCTGTAGCTTTTTTGAGACAGGGTCTCTGTCTCAAGCCCAAACTGGCTTCAGATTGACAATTCTGCCAGCCTTTCAATGCTGGGATCACAGGTATGTAACACCATGAGATACAAGGTTTTTAAGGATGGTAGTTGACAAGCATGGGAAAGAAAGAAACACAAAGGACAAATACTGTGCCATTCCATTTATATGCAGAGTCATGAAGCAGAAAGTATCAGGAAATCAGAAGCCTTACATATTAAGCGATACCATTCAGGGAAAGGACAGAATTTGAAAATGAGAAAGTTATTGCTGAGGGTATGGATCAAATGGTAGATCACCTGCCAAGTAAGCATATCCTAAGTTTAAGCCCTAATACCACTAAGGGAAAGAGAAAGGAGGGAGAAGGAAAAGGTAGGGTAAAGGAAGGAAAAGAATGAGGAAAGAAAGACACGTGAACATGACAGGGTAATGGAGGAGAAGGGTAGCTGTTATGCCTTGACATGACGTCAGTAGTAAATAAGAGGTGGTGTATACATATTGTAGAATAAATCTGACCTTTAAAAATGAAGAAAACTCTGATAGAAGCTACCACAAAATGAATCCGAAAAATGAAAGAAGCAAGACCCAAAAGAACCAGTCATATTTCCACTTACATGAGATATAGACTAGACAAGCAGAACCAAGGATGCCAGGGCAGAGGATGGAGAAGACAGGAAGTTTCTCCTAGTGGGCACCGTTCCTGTTTGGGTAGTTTAAAAAAAAACATAATGATGACAGTTATACAATATTGCAAAGGTAATGAGTACACTGATTGTACACTTTTAAATGGCCCATTGTATTTTGCACAAATTTTGTCACAATATGGGTGGCAGGTTGGGGAAGGCTGAAGTAGCTTGGGCTGGAAGACCCTTTCTGCACACACCCACAACCTCCAGCATGCACACAGCGGGGCTGGGCAGATACATAGGCCAGAGAAGAAAAATCAAAAACAAAAAATGAAGGCTACTTGGAATACCAGTACACTAGTAACACAAGAAGGAATCTTAGTGTCTGTTATTAGCACTTTCAAAGCAAAATCTTTCCCTTCAAATTGAAAAAAAAAAAAGTGGTGTTAACAGAATAAAAAAATCTGGAATCAGCTTCCTAGATTTTCTACCTATTGAATATCAAATGATTTGTACATGGCCCCACCGCTCCCTAATTTCTGGAAAACCATCAATGTTCCATTCATTTGCACAAATGAGTTCCTACAAATCTGCTTTTGTCCACTCCCTGAAGCCTGTGTAATTCAAGGGCTGCCATATCCCACTGCCCACAATCCTACCTCAGGCAAAAGCAATCTCTGCCTCCCTCAATATCTTTCCCTTCTCATGGCTCCCAGCTAGCAAAAGCCTGCCTGCTTGGCCCAAGTTCAAATCCCTTAGGGACACAATGATGTTTAGGTTCCAATGGCAAGTGTCTACTATCACTAGTTTTCTTCCATGATAGAATGTGGTGTCAGGCTGGCCAAAGGAATGCCTTTGAAGTCTCTTTAGCCAGTGGACTTGGGGTTCAGCATGGCCCCTCCCACTTTCCTGGTGCCTTGGTGAAAGCAGATGGGATAGCTTCAACTCCCCCATAAAACTTAACAGCTTTGGGGCTGGGAAGGTGGCTCAGTGGTAAAGCGCTTGCCTTGCATGCCTGAGGCCCTGGGTTCGATTCCCAGCACCACATAAGCAAAAAGAAAAAAGCCGGAAGTGGCACTGTGGCTCTTGTGGTAGAGCGCTAGCCTTGAGCTGAAGAGCTGAGAGACAGCGCCCAGGCCCAGAGTTCAGGCCCCACAACCGGACCCCCCCCCCAAAAAAAAACTTAATAGCTTTGCTCTCCCTGGCCGCCTTTACCCTACTTAGATTTTACCCCCATTTTTTTTATATTTCATTATTGTAGAGGTGATATACAGAGGGGTTTCAGTGACGTGAGTCAGGTAATGAGTACAATTCTTTTGAACCATGTATCTCTTTCCTTCATTATCTCCATTTTCCCCTCCTCTCCCTACCCACAAGATGTATAGTTCATTTTTATATAGTGTCTAGTGAGTACCACTTGTATTTTTTCACCCTTTGTTCCAGCTTTTCTTTGCCCCCATTACCTTCCCAAAGTCAAACAAGACAAAAGGAAAAGAAAACAAAAACAGCAACTTAAAAAATACTTTTCTTGGAGTTCATTTTGTAAACTATTTTGTATGGTCATGTGCACATAGCTGATCTGTTCTTATGCATATCTTCCCTTGGTCTCAATCCGTGAATATCTAGAGACCTGTACAATTTATCATGCCCCAGTGTATGGATATATGTGTATGTGTATATAATATATGTGTGTGTGTGTGTGTGTATATATATATACATATACATTTAAATTTTCAGTGTGTTTACTTGTAGATTTATAGGCATATCCTAATTACCACAAATGTGGGAAACATGCAAGCTGTGTTTCTTTGGATATGGCTTAAGTGTATCTAAACTCTTCTTTCTAAAATTACTTAGAGAAGTACTCACCTTGAGCTGAAAAGCTGAGGGATAGCTCCCAAGCCCAGAGTTCAAGCCCCATGACAGACAAAAAAAAAAAAAACCCTAAACTCCAAATGAATCAACAACTTAATGAATGGGCAAATGAACAGTCAAAAGAAGTACACATATCCAGTAAACATATAATGAAATGTTCAATATCCTTGATCCTAAAAGGAAATACAAATCAAAACAATAAGGAGATTTTATCTTACTCTAGTCAGGGGGCCATCATTAACACAAACAAATGTTGGTGAGGATGTGAAGATAAAAGAATTCCTCATGGGCTGGGGGCCCCATGGCTCATGCTTTTAATCCTAGCTACTCAGGAGGCTGAGATCTGAGGATTATGGTACTAAGCAAGTATAGACAAGAAAGACTGGGACTTTTTATCTCCAATTAACTACCCAAAAAGCTGGAAATGGAGCTGTGGCTCAAGTGGTAGAGTGCTAGTTTTGAGCAAAATGGCTCAGGGATAGCATCCATGCAAGCCCTGAATTCAAGTCCCAGGACTGGCAAAAAAAAAAAAAAAATCCATATATACTGTTGGTGGAGATGTAAACTATTACAAACATTGTGGAAATTAGTATGAAGTTTTCTCAAAAAGTAAAAAAAAACTACCTTACAATACCACTCTTGGACACTGATTAGAATGTAAGGCAGAATATAAGAGAGGCATTTGAAC